GCGTATTTGGTGTTGAGTCTGGGAAGTTTCTCGGATTCTTGATTGACCAAAGAGGCATCGAAGCTAATCCGGAAAAAATACAGGCGGTAATTGACATGAAGTCTCCCCGCACTGTAAAAGAAGTCCAGAAGTTGACCGGTTGTCTGGCGGCATTGGGGAGGTTCCTCAGCCGGTCAGGTGACAAGTGCCTCTATTTCTTTCAGGCAATCAGGAAGAGGTCAAGGTTTGAATGGGGTGAAGAAGCAGAGGCGGCATTCCAGAGGCTTAAGCAGCACTTGCATTCTTTGCCAAGGCTAGTGAGCCCCCTACCCCGGGAGGTTCTGTACATGTACCTAGCCGTCTCTGATCACGCCCTTAGTGCCGTTCTCCTCGCTGAGAGAGACGGCATTCAGCTGCCGGTGTACTTCATCAGCCATGTCTTAAAAAATGCTGAGCTCCGGTACCCCATGATCGAAAAATTTGGGTTGGCCTTATTCGTAGCAGTCAAGCGGTTGAAGCCTTATTTTTTGGCACATCCGGTTGTGGTATACACAGATCAGCCGCTCAAGCGTACGATGACTGCTATAGAGTCATCCGGTAGAATGATCAAGTGGGCTGTTGAAATACAAGGCCTTGAGATAACTTTTGAACCCAGGCGGGCAGTGAAAGGTCAGGCGTTTGCCGACTTTATTGTCGAGATGACTAGGCCGGTGCACCCGGAAAACCCTGATCAGGTCTGGAAGTTATTTGTAGACGGCAGCTCTACGGTGAACGGCTGTGGTGCAGGTGTTATCTGTCATTCCCCGAAGGGGATAAGTTTGAATATGCACTACGGTTTAAGTTCCAAGCCTCCAACAATGAGGCAGAGTATGAAGCCCTGCTAGCCGGATTGCGCATGTGTAAGGCAGCCGGTGCAAGAAAGGTCGACGCCTGCTCAGATTCACAGCTGATCGTTAGCCAATACCTTGGTGACTACGAAGCCACCCATCCGGCTATGATAAAATATTTGCAGGCGGTCAAAGAGGAGGCTGGGTCCTTCGATGAATTTCATCTGCGACAGGTGCCCCGGTCTGAAAACAATCAGGCGGATGCCCTCTCAAAGTTGGCATCATCAGCCTCCGGTGATGCTCCTAGGACGGTCTTTTGGGAAGTCATTGAAAAACGAAGTATTCAGAATGATCCCATTGGAGTCTTGGACAGAACTGCTACCTGGATGGATCCCATCCGGTCCTTTTTGACGGATGGTACCTTGCCGGATGACCCTTCAGAAGCATCAGCGCTCAAGAAGCGTGCTTCAAGTTTTGTTATGCATCAAGGGGAACTCCTCCGGAAGGGATACCTGCAGCCGTTTTTGAAATGTGTAACCCCGGATAGGGGGAGAGAAGTTTTGGAAGATCTGCACGCGGGGTTTTGTGCCTCGCATATTGGCGGCAGGTCCCTGGCCAGAAGAACCAGACGGCAAGGGTACTTCTGGCCCACTCTTGAAGCGGATGCCATGGATCTAGTAAAGAGATGCGACAAGTGCCAAAAATTCGCTAAGTTGATACATCAACCGGCAACAGAACTCACGGCAATCCATAGTCCGGTTCCGTTTGCTAAATGGGGCATGGACATTTTGGGACCTTATACGCCTGCGTCAGGCGGCCGCCGCTACATTCTTGTAGCAGTAGACTACTTCACCAAATGGGTTGAGGCAGAGGCGGTAAAAGGGATTAAAACGAAAGACGTGATTTCTTTCATCTGGAGAAACGTCATCACCCGGTTCGGGGTTCCAATGTCCATGGTTTTCGACAACGGACCGCAGTTCGAAACGCCTGTCCTGAAGACCTGGTTGGGAGACCAAGGAATTTCCCATTGTTTTGCATCCGTTGGCCGTCCTCAGGCAAACGGTCAAGTTGAGGCTTTTAACAAGTTGATCTCAGACGGGATAAAGAAGAAAGTAGAAAGAGCCGGTGGACTATGGGCAGAGGAATTACCTCATGTCCTTTGGGCTATCCGGACAACCGAAAAGGGGGCAACCGGTGAGACCCCATTTCTCATGACATACGGCACTGAAGCAGTTCTTCCCATTGAACATTATGAGCCTACTCTACGCATTATGTTATATGATGAGGAGGCTAACTGGGAAGCCATGCGGTTGGCATTAGACGCTCTTCCAGAGCGAAGGGGGAATGCTGCCTTGAATCATGAGATCTACCGTCTGCGTATGACTAGAGCCTACAACAAGCGGGTTCGTAAAAGACCTTTGAAAGAAGGAGATTTTGTGCTTCGCAAAATGGAGGCAACCGGTAGGGCCAATGAACAAGGCAAATTAACCCCAAATTGGGAGGGACCCTACCGGATCTTTGAAGAAGTACGAGACGGCACTTACCGCCTGGAAACTCCAGACGGAAGAAAGTTGCCTAGAACTTGGAATGTAGATAACCTCAAAAAATACTACTTCTAAGCATTGTACATCTTTTGAAAATTTTCAAATGATTAATGAGAATTACATTCAATTTTGTATACAGCCGCCATGTCTTGTGCCTACCACAAGCGGCACCAGTAACTAATTTTTTCATCCGGTGACACCCATACGGGTGAATTCATCGAAGAGAACATCTCCCATTTGGGTGGTAAATTGTTCTAAGCGATCACACAGGCGGACAAATCCGCCTGACGATCCTTCGCACCAAAAAAAGGCCAGGCTAGCAACCCCAAACTTGCAGCCGGCTCACTTTTTAGAAGGACAACCGGTACTCAATACCGCCGCCTGACTCTCTAAGAGCAGGCCTAAAATCATCCGGTGACACCCATACGGGTGAATTCATCGAAGAGAACATCTCCCATTTGGGTGGTAAATTGTTCTAAGCGATCACACAGGCGGTCAAATCCGCCTGACGATCCTTCGCACCAAAAAAAGGGGCAGGCTAGCAACCCCAAACTTGCAGCCGGCTCACTTTTTGGAAGGACAGCCGGTACTCAGTACCGCCGCCTGACTCTCTAAGAGCAGGCCTAAACATTTGGTCTAGGCCATAATTCATTCAGGGGTATGCTTGCAAAAGCCCAACCGGTGAATGGACATCCTAATCTGGCGTGATTCTTTTGCGAAGTCCCGACCGGTAATTCAGTATAAACCGACTGGCTCCCGAATCTAATGTTGGCACTTAGTGTATATTCGAGCTATATCATATGGATAGTCTCCTGGCTTGCAAAGACCCAGACCGCTATCCAGGGGCAATTACCCAGACGCCATCCGGTTTGGTTTTGGGTCGAAATTTCTTCGCCTAGTTTGCGAAGACCCAGACGGCAGTGTTACCGGTGGGGTCTTCTTGGCAACCCTTGCAAATTTCTTCGCTTAGTTTGCGAAGACCCAGACGGCAGTGTTACCGGTGGGGTCTTCTTGGCAACCCTTGCAAATTTCTTCGCCTAGTTTGCGAAGACCCAGACGGCAGTGTTACCGGTGGGGTCTTCTTGGCAACCCTTGCAAATTTCTTCGCCTAGTTTGCGAAGACCCAGACGGCAGTGTTACCGGTGGGGTCTTCTTGGCAACCCTTGCAAATTTCTTCGCCTAGTTTGCGAAGACCCAGACGGCAGTGTTACCGGTGGGGTCTTCTTGGCAACCCTTGCAAATTTCTTCGCCTAGTTTGCGAAGACCCAGACGGCAGTGTTACCGTTGGGGTCTTCTTGGCAACCCTTGCAAATTTCTTCGCCTAATTTGCGAAGACCCAGACGGCAGTGTTACCGGTGGGGTCTTCTTGGCAACCCTTGCAAATTTCTTCGCCTAGTTTGCGAAGACCCAGACGGCAGTGTTACCGGTGGGGTCTTCTTGGCAACCCTTGCAAATTTCTTCGCCTAGTTTGCGAAGACCCAGACGGCAGTGTTCCCGGTGGGGTCTTCTTGGCAACCCTAGTAAATTTCTTCGCCTAGTTGGCGAAGAACCAAGCGGTAGTGTTACCGGCGGGGTTCTTTTGGTTATCCTCGCAGAAATATTTACAAAAAAAAAATAACAAGAATTCTAGTATTGAAGTGCAGAAAGATAAAAAGCATTCAAAAGCCGGCTCAGCCGGTGAAAATGTTAATATTCAAAATAAAAATTATTACAGCTTAGCCCATCTCATCCGGTGATATTACAAGATAATACAAGGCGCGCAGGCCGGGAAGTAGTTGCTACTGCAGGCGAACAGTGAACCGGTCCTATTCCGGCTGGTTCTGGGTTGGATCAGGGTGAGCGGTTGCGTCGGCTTCAGGAACGACTTCCTCCTCTTCAGCAGCCTCTGCCTGCCGTCGCGCAATCTCCTCCCTAACCCAAGCGTCATAGGGTCCGGGCCCCGGCTCATTCGCCTCCTCGGCCAGAATGGCAAGATCAGAATATTTGAAGGCGAGTTCCCAGACGGTGAAGTCCGCCTCCGGGTGGATGAGGGAAAACGCCCGTTGCATCCGGTTTGCACAGTCATGCTCATTCTCTTCAATGAGCCTCTCCTGCTCCGACTCCAAGGTGGCCTTGAAGTTCTCATTGGCAGCAGCCGCCTCTTTGCGCAGGCGCTCATTCTCTTTGGCAAGGCGGCCATTTTCAGTCTCCGCCTTGCTCAGCCGTTGGAGGGGCTCTGTCTGTTCCTCCAACTTGTTATTGGCATCATCCAGGGACGCCTGCAGTTGGTCAACTTGGTTTTTCAGCTGATCAATCTGCTGTTGGAGGGCTTTGGTCTTCTCCGCCTGTTCCATGCGTATAGATTTAGATTCTAAGCCATGCATGTACAAAGAGTAGTCAGCAACATTATGGGCGTCATCAACAACCCGTTTGCTTCTCCTTACCTCCTCAGACTTGCGGGTATAAGCTCGTTTGAGCCCCTCTACGCGCAGCATAGCCTGCAAAGATACAGCCGGTTAATACTTCATATTTAAAAATGCACGTCAAGAAAATTACCGCATGGTTGTTGGAGCATACGTCGGCCAGGTCGACCAGCACCCGGTCGGCATTAAAGGAGTTGATCCCAGGGATCGCCTCCTTGTCGTCCCTGGGGACGGCTTTCAGCATGGCCCGGGCATATTGTGCCCCGTCCGGCCAGCGGGGAGAATTATCTGCACCAGAAACAGACGGTGAGAAACTCGCATATGCTCTGCCTATAGATTGCCGGCTGATTGGAGAATCCCCCGGCTGCGATCGAGACTGTGAATAAGACTTGACCCGCATGGGCAGATCAAGCAGTGTAAGGTCAAAGTTACCTTGGCGGCCCGAACGGCCTTCAGAGGGACCGGTTGCGGTCCTCAATGGGATGGCAGAAAGCACATCCGCAGATCCAGGCCCGTCTGGGACCCTTATTGATTTGCCGCCGGTAGTTTGCCGGTCGGCTGTCTTCTGCACCTTGGATGCAGACTCTTGTTGGGTCGGCGGAGGCCTGACCTGTTTTTGAAGGGACCGGGGCATCTGCTTCCCGTCCTGTAAATGAGAAAAATATAAGTTGGGATAAAAGGATTGAAGTAAACGAGAAGGATCAGACGGTTATACCTTCTTCGCCGCCTGGGCAGCAAGTTTTTTCTCGAGATTGGCTTTCCGAATGTCGGCAGCCGACCTAACCGGTGTCTTCTCGGTGGGCAGCATTTTCTTGGCTTCTTTTGCAGAGGAAGGCACACGGTTAGAATAATAAATAAGCAAGGAAATAAAAGCATCCGGTACGAAAGAAACCGGCTGAGTTCCAAATACATACGTTTTTTAAACATGCTGCTTAGGCCACAAGCGGACAAGAAGCATTCGTCCCTAAAACATTCATGTTTGGGCACCCAGTTTCTAGGTACCCTTACTATCTCTCCGGATGAGAGGGTGTCAGGAACTAACTCAAAAAACCCGGAGTCAAGGATGGTCTCTCTATCATCCTCCGGGACAGGGGGCAGGCAGCACTTGGTCCCCAAGAGTTCTGGTTTCCGGTTGTAGATCCGGAATTCTCTGTTCTCTGCCGTAGTTGGGGCCTTAACCAAGTAGAACCGGTGCTTCCAGTCCGACCATTTGGATGGCTTGTCCAAGGTCATAAGGTATTTGGGCTGGGTGGTCAAGGTATATCAGGCTCTCCAGCCGCCTGGGCTCCTACTCAAGTAATGCATGTGGGCAAACGCCTCCCAGCCGGGGTTGAGGCCCTGCATCTCGTAGGCGGCGATATACCCTAAAATATTTACCCATGAGTTGGGGGTTAATTGCCAGAGACCTAGGCCATACCCCCTAAGTATGGCTTTTATTGTGTCGTGGAGAGGGAAGCGGACTCCGGCCACGAAGGCCGCCTCGTAGCACCCGAACCAAGCGTTCGCGTTCGGTTGTCCATCCTCCCACCATATTGTTCCCAGAGCAGCCGGGACTTTTATTGTATAGTCACCACCCAGCGGCCGCCGTTTGATAAAATCTGGCAGCGCAGCCCGCATGAGCTCGCGGTCCTTGGAGGAGACGGCGATCATGAGAGGATCGTTCCTATTATCCCAAGAAGGCCTCTCCGCCTCCTCGCTATCCTCAGATTCGGTTAAGTAGCTGCTACTGCTACTTTGAACGTGACCGGCATCAGAGCCGGCTGGGGAGTTGGAGACCTCCTTATCAGAGCCTACCTGCTCTCTGGTCTCCTGGAGGGGAGCACTCTCTTCGTTTAAAATGCTATCACCCGGGGTGCTAGGAGCGCCCCCGGGTGAGCCTCTCTACTCTACCTCTCCATGCTCTACTTCACCGCCTGAAGCTGGGACCCCAGGCGGCTGCTCATCTGAGCTCCCACTTCTGTAGTTGGGATCTCTGGCAGTAGACCGGATTCTGGCCATTGTGTCCTGCACAGACACAGAGTCGGTCGATATGGGTGTTGAAAAAGGGTTGTCCCAAAGAACAGAGGCGGCAGACCCAGTTCTAGACTCAGCCATACTAATAAACCGGCTGAGTTTACAGCTAGGTTCCGGGTATGGGTATAAGGGGTCCATCTACTTATGGGACCAATGAACAAAAATGCGAGTAAAAGACTCAAACGGAAATACATGAAAAAGCTAGAAAGAATAGAGACGGTACCTAGAAGAAAATCTGGAAATTCTCTGGGATGCTTGCGAAGACGCAGGCGGTTCAAAATCCGGCTGGGTTTCTCTGATTACCCTCTCGAAAACCTTTGGCTAGCTTGCAACGACCCAGACGGTCTGTAGACCGGTTGTTCTCAACGAATCTCAACTCCGAATGCTCTCAACTCTCAAATTGCCAGCTGCTCTCAAATCTTCAGAAATTTGGCAAAGTTTGTAAATGAGAGCTCGGGGGACATCTTCTCCTATTTATAGAATTTGTCCCAGAAGGTGAAAAGTCGTGACTCTTCGCCTTCTGTTTTTCCATCCTTCAAAAGGAATCTGAAGAGTTGAAAAAAAAAAAAAAAAAAAAAACCTTTTACCGGCGCCACGTGGCACCCTGCCACGTCAGCACCAGTGAGGGGCAAATGTTTGGGGTAAAAATACCCTAAACACGTGGCCCAATGGCCTAGTGACACGTGGCATTCAGCCGTTGGTCAGCAGGGCTCCAATCCTCTGCTGACACGTGTCCTCTAAACCCTAAAAGGGGAACCATCCCTTCCCCACTATAAATAGTGGAAGGACCCTCATTAATGGGGGCTGGAACATTTGTTGTTCACATTGAATACTCCTCAAAAAGAAAAACACTTACCCCGAGCAATATTAATTGCAGAATTCTCCCATTACGCGAGAAGTAACTTCCACATTACGTGCATTCTACCTCCCGTATCTTTACTAACTTGATCGTCGGAGGCGGAGCTCCTACCCCCAGGAGTCTTCGTGATTTTGCAGGCACAGGCGTCGAAGGGCATTCTTGGAATTGTAACTCTCCCGCAGGACACTTCAAAAAACCCCGAAACAACACTAACCAAGTAATTTCAAAAAGTGGTCAGCTAAAAGTTAGTGAACTTATGGGGGGGCAATATTATTTTCAAAATAAATAAAAATGCCTATAATTTTAAGCTTGAAGTTTTCAAGAGTTGTGATTATACAAAATTAAAAAGTGAAACATGCAATTATAATATAAATTCCTTCCAATATTGTGTTATAAAAAATTATTGTGTATATTTGTAATACTAAGTAAAGTGGGTATTTCCCCCAAAAATTAAAAAGTAAAGTAGGTAGTTTAAATATTAACTTTTTTATAAGATGAAAAAACATAATAAATACAGTAAAGTGGGTAGTTTCCTCAAAAATTAAAAAGTAAAGTGGGTAGTTTATATATTAACTTTTTTATAAGAAGAAAAAACATAATAAATATGCTTGTAGTTGAATTTTTTTAAAAAATGTGCAATTATATATGGAGATATATATTGTATTGTAAAATAGTAAAAGTGAAAGTGAAAGTGATTTATTTATTTTTATTTTTTTCAATCTAAAATTTAGAGAAGTGGAAGTTATTGATAACCCAAAAATAAAAAAAGGTAGTTATTTTTCACAAAAAATAAAAAATAAAAGATTAAAAAAAAAGGAAGAAGAAGAAGATTGCACCAAATTGTAAGATTGAGGTTTTGGAATGATGTGGTTAAGTGTTGCAAAAATGACTCTACAATTATATATTAGACTAGAGTGTACCCGTGCAAAATGCACGAGATATATAAGAAAAAATATATTTAAAATATGGAAAGTTGATCTTGATGTTATAACTTATACTTGAGCTGCAATGGTCGATTTTGGACTGGTCGACTCTGTTGAAACCTGTTTAGCTTTGCTCTAGTGAGTATTAATAATCGTTTTAACAATGTGCTGACACTTGTTCTGTCGCGCTGACACCTGCTCTGTGTATGATATTCCCTGCTTTGCTTAGAAGCTCAAAAAACAGTGTCTTACTCTTTTATGTCGGTGGCAACGCAATGTAGCTATATATTATGGGGTTTACTTTGTCAAATTTATAGAGGTTACCCGTTTAGTGTTATAGGGGTTACTCGGGTTACTCGGTTAGTGTCATATTGGTTAGTGCATGTCTTGCTCTAAGAGTTATATACTTTAATCTGTTGCAAACAGTTATTCGGCGAGGCCAGTTGCCCAATTACGTGTTGTACTTTTTTTTATTTTTTATGATAAGAGAAGTGGAAATTGTTTAGAGAGGGTAGTGCCTAAAAAAATGCATATAATTGAAGGGTTGGGGATTTAGAGTACAATAGTGAATTGTTGATAAAGGAACTGTAGACTCGTGCTAATGCATGACATATATTATACTATGTCCCAAAAAAATACTCGTAAAACAAAGTGAAATGTTAGTACATATTGTTTTAAAAAAAGTGAAATGTTGGGGATTTTGAGTGTTATAGTGAATTTTTGATAAAGGAACTGTATACTTGTGCTAATGCATGCCATATATTATACTACGTACCAAAAAAAAAAAAAAGTTAAATGTTAGTAGTAGTTTCTTGAAAAAAAAACAAAAAGGAAATATTGGATGGGTAGTTATTACTCTCATGCATTTAAGGTTATTTTTTTTATTTTTTTATTTTTTAAAAAATAACTACCTATCCAACAACTTTGTTTTTATTTATTTTGTATCCTTTTTTTTAAAAAAACAATAACTACCCATCCAATATTTCCATTTTGTTGTTTTTTTTCAAGAAACTACTACTAACATTTAACTTTGTGTTTTTTTTTTTGGGTATGTAGTATAATATATGACATGCATTAGCACGAGTATACAGTTCCTTTATCAACAATTCACTATAACACTCAATATCCCCAACATTTCACTTTTTTAAAAACAATATGTACTAACATTACACGTTGTTTTACGAGTATTTTTTGGTACATAGTATAATACATGTCATGCATTAGCACGAGTATACAATTTCTTTATCAACAATTCACTATAGTACTCTAAGTGTCTGTTCTCATTGATTGAACTCAGCTGAACTGAATTGAACTGAACTGAATTGAGCTGAGCTGAACTAAACGAACTGAACTAAACTAAACTGAATAGAGATGAACTGAGCTTAACTGAACTGAACTGAAATGAAATGAATATTTTATAAGAGAAGGAAATTAGGAGCTGAACTGAACTGAAATGAACTGAATTTCAATGTAAGAGAACAGGCCCAAAATCCCTAACCCTTCAATTATATGCATTTTTTTTAGGCACTACCCTCTAAACAATTTCCACTTCTCTTATCATCAAAAAAAAAAAGTACAACACGTTTTTGCGCAACTGGCTTCACCGAATAACTATTTGCATCAGATTAAAGTATATAACTCTTAGAGCAAGACATGCACTAACCCATATGACACTAACCGAGTAACCTCTATAACACTAAACGGGTAACCTCTATAAATTTGACAAAGTAAACCTCATAATATCTAGCTACATTGCGTGGCCACCGACATAAAAGAGTAAGACCTCATAAAAAGAGCTTATAATGAGAATATTTAAAAAGATACAGCATAATATAGTTGTTAAAAACTTGAAACCAAAAAAAAACATCAGTAAGCAATATTGTTAATTTCAAAGATAATAATCATCAATTCAACAAAGCAAACAAAAACTATTATTATTGACCGTTAAAGAGAAAAAAAAATGTGAAACTTCTCACAAAATAGA